GATCTAATTATGCTGTATTATGGTTTGTTGATGACCTAAGCGTAATGTAGTATATAATATAATAGTTGAATTATTTGATACTCCATAAAAGAAAGAGGGGATGGATTGGAAAAGATAGGGCAGTTTCTAGTTTGGGCAATATTGGGTGATTTGTGAAAGGAATACAAGTTGAAGTAATCCTTGTAATTGAAGTGATAATTGAAAGACATTGTTTGGTGGAGCAAACTGTACTACCCCACCACTACGAGAATATGAAGTTGGTTCCAATAGTATTGTGTTTATTATTCCATTTTTATTGTGTGACATGAAATGATGAAAGGAAGTACCAACGTTAGTACCCTTAACGGTAGAAGTGAATTGGGCTTTGAGTTACAGGTGTGTCCATTCCATTGTCATTGTGTGACATAAAAAAAAAAAAAAAAATCTTGCACAGTCTCCACAATAGTCATCAAATTAGTGTAATTTTTTTTTCATCAATATTCTAAAGTTTCACCTTATATTAATTTGGTTAAAGATTATTTTCGTTGGTGATCAAAATTTACTACTCAAACTATTGTGCACAATTGGACACTACTCAAACTGTTGTGCACTCGAAGGGTTCACCATATACACATATGACTTATATTGATAAAATTAGGTTTTCATCTTTTTATATTTTTATAATTTAGTATCTATAGTTAAAAATTTGTTTAGATCTAGTGAAACTTTTACAAAATATTTTTAATATCTACATACTAATATAATTATATTAAAATATTATTTAATATTATCATTCATATGTATTAATAATATTTTGTAAAATTTTATAGATTATTAACAAATTTTTAATCAAGAGATAAAATTAAAAAAGTTAAAAAGATAAAGATTTAATTATATTTTTTTAGTTTAAAAACTTAATTATAAAATCTTAAAAATTCAAAATTAAATGATATATTAAACCTAAAAAAGAAATATAACATTAAGAATAATTTATCATACGTTAGTTAGATTTAAACTACTTTTAAATGGTTGCCTTGTCCTAATTTTTTTTAGTGAAAAATATTACTTTTAAATGGTTGGGTGAGCCAAACACGAGTGGGCTCAATATGGTCCGAAGTTTGTCTAATCCAATAGCAGGCTAATGATTGAGACATGAACAGTGGTTAACAGGGATGACAAAATATACTTGTCTCAACTTTGACGGGAAATATCCAGTTTGACTGGGTACGAGTACAGGTACGAGTACGGATAAAATTTGATATATTAAATCAGGTACGAATACGGTATGTACTTACCCGCCCCATACCCGTACCCGTACCCGTACCCGTCCCCGTTCCCATTTTTAATTTAATATTCACTTTTAATTTAATTATATTAAAGAATTTTAATATTTTTTTATTGTGATTATTTATTATAGTATGAAATAGATAAATAATTTAATTATAATTATAATATAATAAAAAAATAATTTAAAATTTCATTTTTTTAACAAAAAATAAAAAATAAAAAATTTGACGGTACGGGTACGGATACGGGTATACCCGATACTCGACGAGAACAGGGACAGGGATAAAAATCACATACTCGACAAGGACGGGGACGGGTACAAAAATGAGATTGACTTGCGAGAACGGGGACGGATATCATGAAACCCGTACCCATCCAGCCTCGTTACCATCCTTAATGATTAGAGATAGTTTTTACTTTTTAGACCCATGGTTGAACTAATAAAAAAAAGGGGGAGTAACATATAGTTATTATTAAATTATTGATGTTAGAATTCACTGTATAATTGAGTTTTTTTTTTTTTAACAAAATCAATAAATTTATCATTTTCTTCGGTTCCTTTATAACTTTATTCATAGCTTTATTTACAATTTTATTACTGCTTTTAGTCATTTACAACTTTCCTTTAACATAATTCCATAGGAGTAGCTTAGTATAGACAACTTCATTACCATGTAAAAAGATAATGGAACAGAGCGAACACATTATTAGAAATAGTAGGTAAGTGTTAATAATTTAAAAGCATAAATTAAAATATAATATGAAAAATAGTTTCTCACTATATTGTTGGTAAGAGAAATTGCTCACTATAGTAAGATTTTTCAAAATATTATTTGATTCATATTAATATAGTAATTATTTTTTAATATATATTACATATTTAAAAATAATAACTAAAATGATACATTAATTATATGCTACCAAATAAATTTACTTATATAAAATTTAAGTTATTAAATAAATGATATTTTCTTAATAAATTCATATTAAGATTTTTTTAATAGAAAAATTGTTATAAATAGGCTAGTCCTCTTTCAAAGGCAATATACTTATTACATGTACTTATAAATAAGTTAGTCATCTTTCAAACACATTACATTAATCAAATTTTTTTTCTTCATTTTATATTATCTTGTTTGTTCTCTCTACTTTCTCTTTCTTTTATAATACAAGAAATCCATGTATCTCGGGTGTGCGGGAGCAAATTAACTAATTTGCACTATGATATGCTCACTTGGCCAATCAAATTCTTTTCTCCATTTTATATTATCTTGTTTTTTCTCTATACATTCTCTTTCTTTTATAATACAAGAAATCCATGTATTTCGTGCGTGTAAGAGTAAATTAACTAATTTGCACTATGATATGCCCACTTAACCCACGTAAACACACATGAACCTTTACATGCATGCAAGCCGTTTTACATACCTATATCACAACTTGATATATATAAACCATTCTCCAAGAACAATAATAACCAATGTGACACTTTTACCTTATACCCACCATCTTGACAATTGATTTCATCCATCTTATAACAACTTGTATCATTCCTTTTGTGCTAGTAAAACTTATTTTCTTTATTTATTCTGTATTTATCATCTTATATCTTATAAAATACATAAAACTTATTTAGTTTAAATGAAAAATACTTGAGAATTATAAGATAATTTAATTAAAAAGTGAAAAATTATTATAAAAAAAGGAAAATTAACAAAAAAAATATATGAACATTAATAGCGTACTTAGAAATCTATTTTTTAACGAAAACATAAAATCACTCTTTCTAAAGTACTAAAATATAAAACAATTTTTTTTTTATTTTTTCCATTTAACATAAGTTTGCAAAATTTTAACAATAAAACAAACACACACTAAATCATTCCTTTATTTACTATTCTGATATTCAGGTTTGATAAAAATTAAATTTAAACAATAATTTTTTTAATACTTTTATATTTAGATTTAGTATCCAAACACACAATATTAAATAAAAATTAAATACATTTAATATCTTAAAAATATAAAACAAATACACTTAATACTTGCCATACAAATAAATAAAAGAGTTAGTAAAAAGCGCTCAACTCATTTTTTTATTTTGGTAATTAGAAGCTCAACGCATTTTTTTTAATTAGAAGCTCAACACATTTGAAAACATGATTAAACCTAATTGGATAAAAAAAATGGCTTAGTAGATGTTCGATTGCTGCTCTTGAAACAAATCTCAACCTAAATATCTCGCTGAAAAGCTTTCAATTTTTTTTTCCTTTTATTCACCATTTGTTTTTCATCAAAAGGTAGAAAATGACACATTTTCATAATATATCTTTGCATAACAAAATATATTTTGTGTGTTTCTAAAATTTTCAAAATTCAATTTTAGTCATACATAAAATTTATATTTATTTTAGAAATTTTTTTTATTGAATCAAAATGGTACCTCTGATGACATTTTCATAATATATTTTTTTGCATAATAAAATATGATTATGTGTTTCTAAATTTTTTAAAATTTAATTTTAGTCTTACATAAAAATTTTATATTTTTTTTGATTTTTTTTATTGGACCCAGTGAGCTAGAATTTTCATTTAGGGGGACCACTATAAAAAGAAATTACACCATTTTTTTTAATAAAAAATTTCACATATACAACACATATAAGATTTCTATACATAATTAACATTTTTTATAAAAAAGTTATTATTAATTATATTGAACATAAAATTAAAAAAATGAAAGAAATCAAAATCATATAATTTATATACAATTTATAATACATGTAAAAATGATAATTTGATTTGATATATAAATATTTTAGATAAATTAATTCTTAAATTTTTAAATAATAAAAATTAATATTAAAAATTAATTATCTTTATAAATAAAAGACTTAAATATGAGATGTTAAAATTTAAAAATTAAATATAATATCAATTAATTTAATAAATACTGATAATATTTACATATTTTTATTAAAAAAAATATATCCTGACACCAATATTAATAATTAAAAAACTGTGGCCATGGACACTCCCCCTGCCTCAGCCCCTGATTGGATCGAAGTGGTATAATTTTTTTTTTATGTATATTACTGCATCACATCAAAGCCTTAGAATCATGTATTAAAGTGATAGAAAAATGATAAATAATTCAAAAGATCTTTCGAAAATCGTTTCGATTAAATAAAATATTAATTTATATTATAAAATATTCAGTTAAATAATTATTTTATAATAAATTTATTATAAAATATTAAGTTTTATAAATATAATTTAATCATTTAGTTATTTTTATTTTTTATTTTTTAGTTTTTTATAATTTATATTATATTAATTTGATATTTTTATTCTACATGTAAACTTGTTATTATTAATGGATATTTTTACATTTTATTAAAATTTTAAAGTTAAGTATTATATTATATTTAGTTTGGAATTTTATTGATACATTAAATGTTAAGAACATATAAATGACACTTATTTTAATTTTTTAGTATTATAAAATTGTGGTTTATATTTATTTAATATTACTTTGTATTGATGATGATGATAATAATAATAATATTATTATTATTATTACTATTATTATTATTATTATTATTATTATTATTATTATTATTATTTTACTAACACTATTGATAGAAAATCCTTTGGAGAGATTAGATTGATGTAGTTTCTTGTCTAAGTTCCTTAAATGGAGTAAAATACCTAAACCACCAATTTCCTTGTGATCATAATTCGTGGCCACGCACAACTCCCTGTACATATTCGCCAGGACGCATGATCCCCGACTCATTTGACCACAAACATCCAGGTCTTCTAGGAAACTCAGGTATCTGAGGGATACAAACGAGCTAGAGTGATTAGTTAATAAATATCCCCCGATTATGCGTAAAATGAACGCTCTAGTATAGCGTTCCAACTGTTCCTGGCTATGTATATGCTCAGAAACATTAGAAAAGTGTCGGTCAATCCAGCTCATCCTCAATCGACCGCCAGCAAGCATTGACTCAGGGGGTGTCATGCCAAGAAGGCGCTGCACAAGAGCTCCCCAATCCATAGTTACGTATCCAGTAATGGGTGCTCCGGAGATCTTCAACCCAAGTAACATTGCAACATCCTCCAACGTGATAGTACACTCGCCGAAGGGCATGTGAAACATGTGGGTCTCTGGTCTCCATCGCTCAACTAACGCAGAAATTAAATGATTGTCCACAGAAAAGTAACTAATATGCGCCATCCCCATAAAACCATCCCTCTGTAGAAGATCCTGAATAGCAGCTGGAATCTCAACACCACGCAACTCTGATTGTGTTGCTCTCCTAACCTTAAAAACCCTATCTTCAGCTCCATTCCATATATGCTCAGATATATGGAATGGTTGAAGCCTTAATAATGAATCATCGATAGGTCCTGCATGAATCATCTGTATAGACATCCTGATATAATTAAACAAACAAACAAATTAAATATTAAACTCAAACAACTAATTAATTATAAATTTCATAAATGCCTAAATACCTAATATCCCTCATAATAATTCAAAATTTTCAATTGAAATCCTTCATGACTGCAATGAGAACGACCCGTTCTGAAACTAGAACGGGCCGTTCTCATTGCACAAAACGTGTCTAAAATTGGGTTCTGGAACGGGCCGTTCCGAAAGCAAAACGGACCGTTCTGATCCCTTCCATTTTTCACTAAATCAAACAACCAGAATGACCCCACAATGGCCCGTTCTACTTTCAGAACGACCCGTTCTACTTTCAGAACGGCCCGTTCCAGATCCAAAATAACAACCAATTTGTTCAATCAGAACGACCCATTCTGTTTTCAGAAAGGGCCGTTCCACACCCAAAAACCATTAACGAATCAGCCCTAAACATTTTATATTTTAATATTTATTTCTAAATTTAAAATAAATAAAGTAAAAATCATACCTGATAACAACGTGCAAAAAAAATTTTGTGGGCCAATAAAATTTTTCAGAACCAACTGGTAGAACCGTTTTCTTAGAGCGCCGGGAGTACAAGCGTTTTCTCAAACAAAAACGTATCTGCCCCTTTACTCTCGGAGAACACTTAAACATAAAATGGGGGGAGCTCTACCACGTGTCAAATGAAGAACACATGGCGCCTCCCCCCATGCTCTTTCAGTTGAAACGCGTCACGTGTTGTTTTAGATATCAGAAGATGTATTATTCTTCAAAGTAATATTCAAATCACTCAATGCTACATTTCTATATTAAATGACCAAAATAGGATAAAATTTTTCAAAAATTAAAATTAATCCCAAGAAATTTAACTCGGGAAAAAATATATTTAACTCAATCTATTTTTTCTTCGTTTGATAAAAAAAAAAAAAAACCGGGAAGAAAATATTCCAACAGCTAAGAATAAATAATCAGCAACAAAAATTTAATTTCTCAGGAAGCAGTAATTGAATTGTTTATTATAATAAAATAAAATCGCAGAAAATTCAACAGGAAACAAAGGCGAAGAATGAATAAAGAAAAATGATGGATCCATAATCCCAAATCCACGAACCACAACCACCATGATTCCGATCCTCCTCTTCCTCTTCCTCTTCCACTTCCCCCTCACGCAATCCAAACCCTCCCTCTCCGCCGTTCCCACCAGCCTGACAAACTCCGGCGACACCGTCCACCTGACGTGGACCGGCGTCTCCGCCCCCTCCGACCTGGACTTCCTGGGCATCTACTCCCCGGCGACCTCCCCGCACGAGCAGTACCTCGGCTACCGCTTCCTCAACGAATCCGCCACGTGGCGGACGGGCTCCGGCTCCCTCTCCATCCCCGTGGTCAACCTCCGCGCCAACTACTCCTTCCGCATCTTCCGCTGGACGCGCGACCAGATCAACCCCAAGCGCCAGGACCACGACCACAACCCGCTCCCCGTGGCGAGCCGCCTCCTCGCCTTCTCCCCCGAGGTGGGCTTCCTCCCGGGCCGCGGGCCCAACCAGATCCATCTGGCGTTCGCGGAGCGCCAGGATGAGATGCGTGTCATGTACGTCACGGGGGGCCACGACGAGACCTACGTGAGGTTCGGGGAGAGGGAGGAGGAGCTCCAGGGCGTCGCCGTCGCGCGCGTGGGCAGGTACGAGAGGGACCACATGTGCGACGCGCCTGCCAACTCTTCTGTGGGCTGGAGGGACCCCGGTTACGTTCACGACGCGCTTCTCACCGGCTTGAAGAAGGGGCACAAGTATTATTACAGGGTATTCAACTATGAAACTTATTTTTTATTTATTTATTTTACTAGGGAAGTAAATGTTTTTGGTTTGATTGGATTTGCGAATAGGTTTCACCGTAGAGTAAACTAAAACTATTTTATTTATAAGCAAATGAGCTTCACCGTAAGTAAAATTATGGTGAAGGATTGGATAAAACTTCACCTGTTTGGATAAAAAATAGGAAAGAAAAAGCAAATAAGCTTTACCATAAGTAAAATTAGCGTATATAGAAGCTTATTTGTAAATTGATGAAGTTATGTGATAGAGGTTGTATGGGTTAGTTTATGCATAAGTTTATTTTTTTTCTTTCTAAAAATGCTACCTAAGAAGTTTATCCAAACAAATCTTAATTTGGGATGCTCAATGTTGGAAATATTAGAGGAAACCATTTTAGCACTCCCCAAAAGTAAATTTCAAATAAATTCTGATGAAGGTGCAATTCATTAGTCGAGTAGACATTCATTTTAGTCATAAATTTAGAAGGCACTTTTATGGGTCTCTGAAACAAAGAAATTGTTGAATAAGTTTTTAGAATGTTAAATAAGTCTTATATTAACTAAGAACTACAATTTTGGTTCCTAAATAATACATATGTCAATAATCACATTTTTTTTTTCGAGTTTTGGACCAAATGTACTTTCCAGGACTTGTCTTGCAATTTCTTAGTTTCGAAAACTGTTAGGACAATACTTTCCTAATTCAGAGACATGCTTATTTTTTGTCGGTCACAGTTGTTAAGTTTAAAGACTGAAATAAAATAATCAGAAATTTTGTAGACTTATTTAGAGTTTTTCTAGTTTCAAATACGTGATAAGAAGTTGCACTTTAAGTGTCTCACTTAGGGGTGGGTAGACGGATTCGGGTCCACGAGGGGTCCGTTTTTTTTAAATCCGTATGATTATGTCTAATTTTTAGCCCGGCTCGTGAAGTCTGCGGACTTGGTGGATTTAATCCGCGGGCTCGTGGGCTAGTCCGCGACCTTTACTAATTAATATTTTTAAATATTATGATTTTAATATTAAGTTGTGTATTTAATTTTTTAAATTATGATGACAATAAAATTATGTTTAGTTGGTATGTATTTGTTAATTGAATTACTTTTATGACATTTTGATGCTTTTATTATTGAAAGTTTGGTACTATTATTTAAGTATTTGTAATTATTTTTATTTTAATATTTAGTATTTAAAACCATTTTAACTATATAAATTTTAGTATGATAAAATTTAGCTTATAAATTTTTTTTTTCTTCTTCTAATTTTATGTATTTTTATTTTTTAAGAATTTATTATTTTGAACTATTATTTAGGCTCGCAGACCGGTCCGTTATCAACGGATTTTGGTGGTCAGGATACGAACTTAAAAAATAAGTCCATTTATTTTATGGACCGGACTTATCCGGCCCGTATAAAACACGAATTTTACGGACCGGACCTTAAACGGGCCAGACCGGTCCGTTTACCCACCCCTCTCACTCAGCTAAAAGTAGGGTCCTATCCTATGTTTTGGTTATTATGGCTCTGATGCTAATGTGTCTCGTCGGATCACATTAAGTGGGATGCCGTGCCGCTTAAATGCTACATTTGGAAGTGGGCACTAATGGGTCACGCGAGCATTTGAAAGAGTTTAATTTATAACATCTGTGAAAGTGGTTTTAGTTTTTTTAAAGAGTTTACGTTATTCCACCATAAGTGTATACATAAATTCAATAGGATTTGATCACTTTATCCAGTCAATTTATTCATTAATATGATGTAGTGATAAGATAAATTGTTATTGAATTTTTTTTTAATATTGTCATTTAGTCACATCACAAATCATCATGGACGGAGAGTATGTTAATTTTTGTAATATTACATGATTTTTTATTAAGTGACAATCTAAAAGCTTTTTATATTCACACTACATGCCTATTAAACTCAATTTTATTTAAACCTTATTGAAATGAATAAGTTTCAAAGTTATACTGGTAAATAAGTTTTTGCTTGTTAAAAGAATGTCGAATAAGTGTTTAATTGAGCTATTGCCTATTTGAGGGATTGATTTTGCTTTTGTAAGGAATTAGGATTAAATTGCCTGCTGTTATTCAGTTTCAGGAACAGAATTAATGTTTTGCTCCCAAACAGTGATACCTTATGAATGGAAAAATGTTGAGATATTAACTGATTAGATTAATTTAATATGTGCCAGGTTGGAAATGATAAAGGAGGTTGGAGTGCAACTCATAGTTTTGTGTCGCGGAATAGTGATTCAGATGAAACAATTGCCTTTCTGTTTGGTGACATGGGAACAGCTGTACCATATAATACATATCTGCGAACCCAAGATGAAAGCATATCAACCATTAAATGGATCCTCCGTGATCTTGAAGATCTAGGTGAAAAGCCAGCCTTTGTCTCTCACATTGGAGACATTAGTTATGCAAGAGGTTATTCATGGTTGTGGGACCATTTTTTCACTCAGATTGAACCTGTTGCGGCCAGAGTGGCATACCATGTTTGCATTGGCAATCATGAGTATAACTGGCCTTTGCAGCCGTTCAAACCTGATTGGGCTGGTTATGGGAAAGATGGGGGTGGTGAGTGTGGTGTGCCTTACAGTTTAAGGTTCAACATGCCTGGAAACTCTTCAGAACCCACTGGAACTGGAGCCCCACCGACTAAGAATCTTTATTACTCATTTGATATGGGATCAGTGCACTTTGTGTATATTTCCACAGAGACCAATTTCCTTCCCGGGAGCAACCAGTACAAGTTCTTGAAACATGATTTGGAATCAGTTGACAGGAACAAGACTCCTTTTGTGGTGGTTCAAGGGCACAGGCCAATGTACACTACCAGCCATGAAAATAGGGATGCTGCTTTAAGAGGAAAGATGCTTGAGCACTTGGAACCTCTTTTGGTGAATAACAATGTCACACTTGCTCTTTGGGGTCATGTTCATAGGTACGAGAGGTTTTGTCCACTGAATAACTTCACGTGTGGTGGTAATGTGGGTCAGAAAGCAGGGGACGGAAAATCATATACTGTTCATATTGTGATTGGCATGGCAGGGCAAGACTGGCAACCCATCTGGGAACCGAGGCCCAATCATCTTGAGGACCCAATCTTTCCACAACCAAAACGGTCTCTGTACCGAGGGGGTGAGTTTGGGTACACTAGACTCGTGGCTACAAAGCAGAAGTTTGTTCTTTCTTATGTGGGAAACCATGATGGTGAGGTGCATGATATGGTGGAAATTCTGGCATCTGGTGAGGTTGTCAGTGGGAATGGAGATTGCAGTATCAATGATGCTATTAGTGATGCTAATTCTAAACCTGGAAGTCAGGTTGTAGAATCCACATTGTCTTGGTATGTCAAAGGAGGAAGTGTACTGTTGCTTGGGGCATTCATGGGTTACGTATTTGGTTACGTTACAAGCAGGAAGAAATCTGAGGCCCCGAGCAATTGGACTCCAGTGAAGACTGAGGAAAGTTGAACTGTATATTACTATTTACCACCTTTTTAAGTAGGCCATGAAGGTTCACCCCCAAAAAAAACGAGGGAATGAAGGTTTGGAATTGATAGAGTTCCACTCGTACTTGTTTGATTAAAATACCTAAGCTGTCACCTCATATACTTGAGGACCTATCTTTGTATATATTCAAATTTTCTTGCTGAACTATGCCGTATGAGGCATTTTTATTGTGTTGTTGTACATCATTCAAGGTAATATAATCTGTCGGATGAGACCATACTGTTGTAAGAAAAAAAGTTAGATGAGTGTAACTTTGATGTCGCAATAGGAATTTACTCAATTTAATCCATAAATTTTGTATGCCATGTCTTTTCTTGATACATAAACTTAGAAGGGAGACTATCTTTGTATATATTCAATTTTTCTTGCTGTGTGCCGCATGAGGCATTTTCTTAGGGACTTGTGTTGTACATTAAGGTTAATATAATCTGTCGGATGAGACCATGCTGTTGCAAGAAAAAAAGTTAGATGAGTGTAACTTTGATGATTTGATCAATGAATTTTGTATGCCATGTCTTTTTTTGATACATAAACATAGAAGGGAGAAATGCTTGTACCACTTCACAAAGTCAAGCAAGCCTCTGGTTTCAACGAACATTTACGGCATACTTACATGTAACCCATCAATTAATAAAATGTTCTAGATTCAAATTCGAATCGTGTTTGTTACGAGCAAATAGCGCTGTTACGAGCCAAAGCTTGTTTTTCATGTGTAGGATTTTAAGCCAGGGATAGGAGAGTAGCAATGTTGCGTTGCACTCCAAGTGGCCATATTCAGACAAGGAGCCAGCGTGCAGTGTCAATATGTGGATAAAAATTACTGAAAAATCAAAATGAGGAAGACAGAAACCGAAAAATATCGGAGGGGTGATTTGGTCATTAGCTAGTTCCATGTATATACAGTTAAATCCTGATGATTCTTGATCATGAAAGGAAGAATGAGGACCAACCAACCAGTGTCACAATAAGGAATGGAGATAGCGACAACCAATATTTTGGCTCGTGTTCAAAATTAGATTGAGAGTACCAAGATATTAAATAAAGATAAGAAGACAAACACACTTGCACACTTCCACTTTCACTCATTTTATTTTTCTTCCACACCAGTCAAAGCAGCATGGCATAAACATTATTTCTGTGCTGCGTGTTGCTATTTCCTCTGTGACACGCTGCTTGGAAAAATAAAGACTAGCAGCAATGGCTGCTCTACCCTTCTCAACACCCTGCAGGCATTCCAACTCACCTTTACATCACAATTCAAAATCAAGTTTCACAGGTTTCAGTCAAAGACACAATATTTGGCAATTGTTTGCCATCAAAAAGTCAAATTCCAGAAGGGCAATACGAAAGCTCTATGTGAAGAATGTTGCCAGTGACAAGAAGCGGGAACTGAAAGATCCACCCACTGAAGGTTGCTTGCTTGCATTTTCTATTTAGTTACTAATTCGGAGTTATATATTTTCCTTTTGGGGAAACAATTTTTAGGTTTAATTGGTTGTTGAGGCATTAGTGTTCTTAGAAATAAGAAGTGGGGAACCATGCCCATGATCATGTTCAAGCATAGATTTAGTTAATTTAACTGTCAATGCACATTATAGCTGATCTAAATAGTGTTTTTTTTTTGTTTACTACATTTTCTCCACCGAACATCTAATTGGGTTAAAATGCGGCACTATAGGAGATGGCTTACAACGCATACTAACGTTATTTCAGAGAACATGAGAAATATTTCTCCATAATTTTTTAAATTTTAAAATAAACATTATATTATTGTAAGTTTTGTTGAAGGTGATGTATCGTGAGATATATAGGACTGGTACTCGACTGATTAGCGTGCTGTTGCTCCATTCTCCTAGTCTTTTCATGCTAAACAAGTTTCTCTGATTCTTAATGGGATTAGTGGTAAAACCTCATATTAGATGAATAAATTCGGTGTTTATTTATTCAGTTAATCACGCTAGCAACTCTTTTAAGGAATTTCACAGCCAATATAGCAGTGTCCTCTTGAAGTATTCTCCAGATTTACCCCTCATCTTTATGTTTCTATTGAACTTAAAATATATTTATTAGTATTACAATATAGACCTCGCTTTGTTTTTCTTTTTTCTGTAAACAAGGTTCTAATTATTATCAATTCTTTCTCTCGTAAAACTTGCAGACACTTTCAATGAATTTATACCAGACTCTGCATCTATTGCTTCAAGCATCAAATTCCATGCCGAGTTCACCACCCCTTTTTCTCCAGAGCAGTTCGAACTCAGTAAGGCTTACTTTGCAACTGCAGAGAGTGTTCGTGATTCCCTCATCATAAATTGGAATCTAACAAATGACTACTATGAAAGGATGAATGTTAAGCAAGCTTATTATATGTCTATGGAGTTTCTACAGGTTCATATTGAGTTCTCTTTATTGAGGCATAGGTCATTTTCATTGCGAAAGTGATTTCCAATTTTAATTACTATTTTTTCCTGATTGTGAAGGGTAGGGCATTGCTAAATGCAATTGGGAATTTATCGCTCTCTGGTCCTTATGCAGAGGCTCTCAGAAAGCTGGGTCACAATTTAGAAGATGTGGCTAATCAGGTTTATTCATATTACTTCTTGTCAGAAACTATAAAGTTTGTTAATTTTTGTATATCAATTAGCCCTAAAGATAGCATGTTAAGTGAAAGTTGAGCAAGACTGCAAGACTAATGCTTCCGTGTCCATTTAACAAAATTGTTATCTATTATCTTGAGGATTTTCTGCTGTTATTATTCACCGTTTCTTTAATAACTATTAGTAAGCTAGGATTTATCTAGACAATAACTATAGTTTCAAATAATTAGTTTCATGTTTGATTCCCCAGATCATTAAAGATTCTTTTTAGAGAATATTGTTAGGAAACAAGTAATCAAGTTTAACAGTAAAGAGCATTTATCTTTTATGGAAACAAACTCCTAAAGGACTATGAAAAACTGCAGAAGAACCGCATAATAACACTTCAGGAATGTCAGTTTTATGCACAGGCTGTTAATAATGAAGTAGAGTTTATTTGAATGCAAATATATGTGCAATCCACAGGAGCCAGATGCCGCCCTTGGGAATGGGGGATTAGGTCGGCTTGCTTCTTGCTTTCTGGACTCCTTGGCAACTTTGAATTACCCTGCATGGGGATATGGACTTAGATACAAGTATGGTTTATTCAAACAGCATATAACGAAGGATGGACAGGTGGAAGTTGCTGAAAACTGGCTTGAGGTAATATTTATATGCATCTATTCACAGTTAATGGCGAAGCCACTTTTCATATTAGGGTAGGCATGCATTGTTCTTTAACTTTTTTTATTACTCTCTTTGGGAGCTTTGGAAGGCTATTTTAGTAAAGTCAGAAGTTCTAATGTTGATTCACTGACTGAAGTGTCTCTATGCAGATGGGAAATCCTTGGGAAATTCTGAGAAATGATGTCTCTTATCCAGTTAAATTCTATGGAGAAGTTATTTCAGGGCCAAATGGAAGTAAACAGTGGGTTGGAGGAGAAAATATATTGGCTGTTGCTTATGATGTTCCAATACCTGGATACAAAACTAGAACCACTATAAACCTGCGTTTGTGGTCCACTAAAGTTTCACCTGAAGAATTTGATTTGCGAGCTTATAATTCTGGAGATCATACCAAAGCATATGCTGTTATGAATAATGCCGAGAAGGTCTGTGGAACATTTTTTTTTTCCTTTAACTTTAAGAATATTGTAAGTTGTAGCTGTTTTATGAACAAAAGCTTATTTTCTTCTTGCTACAAATTGTACTTACACCACTATTTCATCAGATAAATTTTGTTGTATTAACACTAACTACAGTAGACTATCTGCATAAATCACAAATGATGCTAATTTTTTTTTTTAAAATGTTATATTGCAATCAGATCTGCTATGTTCTGTACCCTGGTGATGAATCAATAGAAGGAAAGACTCTACGGCTGAAGCAACAATACACACTTTGCTCTGCCTCTCTCCAGGACATCGTTGCACGCTTTGAAAAGAGATCGGGAAAGAGAGTAAACTGGGACACACTCCCCGATAAAGTGGTGGTGCAAATGAATGATACTCATCCAACTCTTTGCATTCCTGAGCTAATTAGGATATTGATGGATGTGAAGGGTTTAAGTTGGGAGAAAGCCTGGAATATTACTAAGAGGTGCTTCCTTTTGCAAAGTCTGTGTATTCACCTTATATTGAAAGATATAAACCATTGTTGAGATTTCAGCTAATAGTTTAGACTTTTAGTAGATTTATTCATTAAAATGGTATTATAGCCTCCTAGTTCAATACCATTGATTAAGTTGAATTTCAGCACGAGGCAAGGGCTTAGTCCATGCTTTAAGCCGAAAGGGATCTTCCTAAGGGGGAATGTTGCTTTTAGGAGAATTGGTGTTTAAAAATATGGTTAAATACTTTTTAGCCCCTATAATTTCACTTACTTTTTACTTTTTAGTCTCTATAATTTAAAGTAGACCTTTTTAGTCTTTATATTTATTTTTTTTCAGTCTCTTTTAGTCCCTATAGTTTAAGCTTTTAAGTCCCTATACTTTAATCCTTTTAGTTCATATTCTTGTAGTATTTTAATTCTTTTAGTCCTTGTTATTAATTTTTTTGTAACATTATCTTTTTTGTGTTGACGTGATAGAGGTATTAATCCAACTTTATGTCTTATGTCGAATTTATGATGTTAGAATTATTCTAAATTAGGTCTCTCGATACTTTATATCTCTTTTGCACCCTCACTTGTGACACTCATTGTTGAGACATTTTTTTAACCCTTACAAAATTGCAGATCTTTATCACGTCAACACAAAAGAGACAACATTATAAAAAAAAACTATAGAGACTAAAAGAATTAAAAGACTGAAGGTATAAAGATTAAAAATTTCTATCTTAAACTATAAGGACAAAAAAAAGATTGAAAAAGATAAGTATCGAGACTAAAAATGTTTATTTTAAAATATAAGAACTAAAAGATAAAGTAAGTGAAACTATAAAGACTAAAAATATATTTTAACCTAAAAATATTATTTACTTGTAAGGGTTAGCAAGCTTGTTTTGTTCTAAAGTTTCTTTTTTAATCTTTGGCTTGGATGCAATTGTGTAAACAAAACTGCTTATGCTACATTGCCAAAGTACCAATCTGCCAACTTACACAGATAGAGCTGGTTCCTATTTTAATAATACCATTTTTAACACATTAAGTTCTTTTTTGATTCACTTTCGAATGTCACTACTACGTCGATTTTTAAACATTGTCTGATACCTCTTTTAATGAATCTTCTGTTAGAACGGTTGCTTACACAAACCACACAGTTCTACCGGAGGCACTAGAGAAATGGAGTTTGACACTTCTGCAGGATTTGCTTCCCCGACATGTGGAAATAATAAGAAGGATAGACGAGGAGGTAATGTCAAACATATGTGGCTATGATTTTCAGATTGTCATGCTATGTATAGTTCTCGGTGTTGAAAAAACAATTCAAATTTTCAAATTCAAATATTTGAGATATTTAGATTTAAAAGATATTGATTCTTTTAGGATATCGTTTATAATTGAAATATATTATATTTATTTTAGAGATTTATTTTCTATTTTAAAATTAGGATGTAAGGTCAATAAATAAAGACTCTTGAGATGAGAAGAAACACTCGACTTGTAGAGGGGGTCATCATGTTAAATGAGAAAGGAGATCATATGAAAGAGGGTTTCCAAGTTTCGCTAGAAAACTTGTGAAGGGGGATTTTCAAGTTTCGTCAGAAAACTTGTGAAGAAGGATTTTCAAGTTTCGCTAGAGAATTTGTGAGAATTGGATTTCCAAGTTTCACCTATAAAACTTGTGAAGAAGAAATTTTCAAGTTTCATCCACAAAACTTGAAGGGAGGATTTTCAGGGTATATATGTAATATATTTTGAGATAAATAATAAACATCTTGGACGTAGGCATGAAGAACTGAACTACATTAAATAAATTGTGTGATCCTTTTATATTTCTTTTATGATGTTGTTTTAATGTGTTTCTCATTATTATTGTGCGTAAAAAAAGGAGATTTTTTTGTTCCCAACACTCAGTTCATATGTCCATTCACATGTCATTCTTTATGAAATCTTATCTTATTTAATGTTATGCATGTTTGCTTTGTTATGCAGTTGATACATGAGATCATTGCTGAGTATGGGACGGGTGATCTCGACTTGTTGGAACAAAGATTTAAAAAAATGAGAATACTAGAAAATATCGAGTTTCCTAACTCAGTGTTGGAGTTGCTTAATATTAAAACAGACACTCCTACTGTTGATTCTGTGGAGGAAATTGATGTTGATGATAATGAAATAAAGGCAACGGAAAAAAAGGAAAAAGAAGAAGAAGAAGAAGAAGAAGAAGAAGAAGAAGAAGAAGAAGAAAAAGAAGAAAAAGAGGACGATGATGATGATGATGTAGTAGGAGAAGAGGAACAAGAAGATAATGAAAACCCATCTGTTGAAGAGGATATTGACAATAAAATAGAAGTGAGATTCAAAGTTGATCTAAAACTACCAATGATGGTTCGCATGGCTAATCTATGCGTTGTTGGTGGGTTTTCTGTAAATGGGGTAGCTGCAATTCATAGCGAGATTGTAAAAGAGGAAGTTTTTAATGAATTTTACAAGGTAACAATACCAGCAGACTCTTTCTATGATTTCAAGAACAATTATTTCTTGGGATCTCTCTGTATATATACATCCAAAAAATAAAATGATAATCAAATTTCATTATCATATAACTTTTGACAGTTGTGGCCTGAGAAATTCCAGAATAAAACAAATGGGGTGACTCCAAGAAGATGGATCCGTTTCTGTAATCCTGATCTCAGTAAAATCATAACCAAGTGGATTGGAACAGAAGACTGGGTAACGGATCTTGAGAAATTGGCTATACTTCGCAAGGTAAATTAATTTAAAATAATATTTGAATTAGGTAAGTTGTTCGTGACATGATTTAACTTCCACAGTTGGATAATGAATATATGTGCATGACTGATCATATACATAACTTTATAGTAGCAGCAAGCAATATAGGTGGTTTAAAGTTGGTGCACAATTTTTTTATGCACAATCTCCATGGTACTCTTTAGTTCTTATTGAAATTATGGGATTTTAGATATTGGGGAAAAAATATAAGAGAGTGAATCACTAAATGATATTTAAGAGAACGAAAGTGTGTTGATAAATTAGTTCTTCTACAACCTAGAGCACTAACCTGTTTTTGTATTAATCATAATTCTTAGGAAATATGGTAACTAATCCTAATTCCTATGAGATAATGAGGAATAGGGAAACTAATCTTAGAGGATAATCTAAGCTATGATAAAATATTTTCGTATATTCCAATAGTTTCTATTTTTTTTCATATAAATGAATTTTATTTAACAGTTTGCAGATAATGAGGATCTACAGCTAGAGTGGATAGAAGCAAAAAGAAGAAATAAGATTAAGGTTGCATCATTTCTCAAAGAGAAAACGGGTTATGCTGTCGATCCAAATGCGATGTTTGATGTACAGGTTGGTTATCTGTCACCAACCACTTAATTTCTTTCTTCTACTGTTTTAGTTAACATTTGTATCGAAGGACTGGAGTGCATATTTTCATCTTGACCAAGGAATAAATGTCAGTTCGTGGTTCTTCCTTGATACTTCAGTGATAACAACTCAATCATACATAATTCACAAAGGTGTTTGCTTTTGATATTAGTATTGATTTAGAATTCCTAGCAACGCTTGGGCAGTAGGATCTCAGACTCATAGTCATCTTCTCCTCAGTTGTTATAGAAACTCTTGTAATTTAATAGGGGTCAATTTGCCACAGAAGAGAAGGGACTCAACCCTGTATTGTTAGCTAAAAAATCCTGTACTGCAAAATAACATCAACCTTTTGTGAGAGATTCTTACATACTTTAATAGTGTTGCAATTAACCATCTAAATTTTGTTTTAAAGTTAGTCTAACAACACAGATTCAATTTTTATTCCATATTTTATTTTTATTGGCTAAATGTAATGCTTTTGGAGTATGTAATATTTTCTCCACAAATACACAGGTGAATTAGGTGATGATTATTAACTAAAAATAAATCACAACTGGATATGACCAATTACTAAACTACACATAAAAACCCAATCATTGTTATTTCACTAGAGATCAAGTCTTGCATAAAATCCTACTTGGGAGAAATGGATAAAATTAAAATTCCAATGGCATGTTTTATCTGCACTCAATTAAAGATGAGAGATAGATCTAATGTATTCATTTTCAGGTGAAGCGCATTCATGAATACAAACGACAGTTACTGAATATTATGGGAATTGTTTATCGCTACAAAAAGATGAAAGAATTGAGTGCTAAGGAAAGAAAAGAAATGTTTGTTCCTCGAGTTTGTATTTTTGGGGGGAAAGCATTTGCAACATATGTTCAAGCCAAGAGGATAGTAAAATTCATCACAGATGTAGGAGCTACAATCAATCATGATCCAGAGATTGGAGATCTTTTGAAGGTATGATTCAATTTGGGGGATAGATATCTAAGCACAAGTATGATGTCATTCAATATTTTGGTTTCACTTGCCTAATGATGGTTAAATAAAAATCTATTTGTTTTTCTCTGAAATGCCACTCTGGAAGTAGCTTACTCCTGGATTAAATCCCATTCAGGCCGCTTTGCCTTTGGTTTAGCCTTTCCCTCCCACACCAGGTCTTAGATCTCTTCCTTAACAAAAAAAAAAATTCTACTTTATTGTCCGGAGGATTTGGTTCATGTCTATAAGTTAAATAATTAAACATCTCATGAGAAATGGACTAAAGTAACTAACAGCTTCATGCTGATACCTCAGACTTCATAATGATCATAAGTATATCGAGATCCCTCCCGCACAAAAATATAAATATAAGATGTTGGCCAAGAATTTTTAAGTTGTTGGTTAGCCAAGTCTCCAAGGAAAATCCAAAATAATTATGACAATGGGTGTTAAATATTCTCTCTTTTTTTTCTTCTATAAAGTAAGACTAACCTTAGTCCTTGTCTTAATCTGTAGGTTGTATTTGTTCCTGATTACAATGTCAGTGTTGCTGAAATGCTAATTCCTGGCAGTGAGTTGTCCCAGCACATCAGGTACTTTTCTTTATTAGTGATTCTTTTATAAAATAAATTACTTTTGGTTTACAATCAAATTGGTTGGTTTTGTAATCTTGTAAATCCTAATTTGAATTCATTTTATACGGCTGATGTTATCATTAATGCTACAAGTTTTTGTTTCTTACATTTTTTTGCCTGTTTGTTTAGTACGGCCGGGATGGAGGCCAGTGGAACAAGCAATATGAAATTCGCAATGAATGGATGCATACTTATAGGAACTCTTGATGGAGCTAATGTTGAAATAAGAGAAGAGGTTGGAGAGGATAACTTCTTTCTTTTTGGTGCACGAGCTCAAGAAATTGCTGGTCTACGGAAAAAAAGAGCTGAGGGAAAGGTAACTAAATTTTAAAAGAAATAAGAATCAATGATTCATCATTCAATGCTTTCTATCCTTTTCCTTCCTTGTTTTTCTCACACTCTTCCATATCAGTGAATAGCATTGGCTGAAAGTAAAAGTAACATCTACTGTAAAAGCTTAAACAAGTTCAGGACCCTCATGTTCTGCTAATACGCTCAACTACCATGATGCATTTCCAAATATTGTATTTGCATTGTGGGAAGCAACAAATTATATATAATCTAATAATTGAAGATTCTATGAAAGTCAGTCTCTACATCCTCTAAGTCATTATTATTTGAATAAATAGTATATGCACAGGTAGTGTAAAAGATTCTTACACTATTATCTTATTACAAATTGTCATTTATGGTAAGTTTGTTAATTTTTATAATAAGTACATTAAAAGTCATATCAACAATAATTTCTGATTGATTGGCTGTGTAAATTGGTTTACATTAACAATATATAAAAATTAAACTCTTATTATTTTATTCCAAACAGGTGGAATTATCATAATCTCAATGTTGTATGGTTTTGTTACATAATATGCACAGTGTGTACCAGACCCAAGGTTTGAAGAAGTTAAGGCATATGTAAGAAGTGGTGTTTTTGGGCCCTACAATTACGAAGAATTGATGGGTTCCTTGGAAGGGAATGAAGGCTATGGTCGTGCTGATTATTTCCTTGTTGGAAAGGACTTCCCTAGCTACTTGGAGTGCCAAGAAGAAGTTGACAAGGCATATCGTGATCAAAAAGTAAGTATTATCTTTGCCAAGAAGAAGTTGACAAGAAGAACTAAACATGAATTTGCATATGAACTTCTTTGTCCAATTTAATTCCTGATTAGCACCTATCTTCCTACAAATGTCCAAATTTATTAGCATGAATTTCTCACGAACATAATAAATGAAATAGCATTCATTCGACACATTTCTATATCATATTGCTTAATACATAGGTTTTAATGCAAGTAGTTACTATGATATCAACCGTGCCATGTGGCTCATGTAGTGATTCAAAATTTCATTGATGTGGGTGCAGAGATGGACAAAAATGTCGATCCTTAACACAGCTGGTTCATACAAGTTCAGCAGTGACCGGACCATTCATGAATATGCTAGAGATATATGGAGAATTGAACCAGTTAAATTGGCTTGAAAAGTTACTCATGCTTCGTGAATTTTTTCCATTTTCAGCTTCTTCGTCTCTTCTAATTAAAGTTCACGAGGGCTTGAAAACATTGAGGACGGGTTTAATTAATTTTCTTAAATCACCTAGCTAGTGCAATATATAGATGAGAACCTCCTCTGTTGTTCCACCAGAGTTAATGTTTTCTTCATACATTTTGTATTTTGTTGTATGTGTAAGAAAAAAAATCAAATAAAATTAAACCTACGATTCTATTTTGAATGCAGATTTTGAACTATGTAATCAAAATCAAATAAAATTATAAAAACGTTTAATACAAATTAGGAGTATTTTTGAAACTTTTTTTTATTAAGAATAAAGAACATTTTTTAACAGATAAACTCGTAAAAAACTTTTAAATTTGTATTGAAATAGATTCTGATTCTGATTCTACTCTATAAAAAACCAGCTTGTACAACTTTACATGGGAACTGCTGCATACACGAATTAACTTTAAGTTTTCACTTAACTAGTATTCCGTGTGTTTGTATCAGCGGCAAAACCTGATTTTTCACATTTAACCGAAGGAAAAAATAATAGCTTCTTCGTAAATTGATAATTGGACGTAGAGAGTCCGTTTAAAAACTGAAACAAACACGCACTTCATGAATATCACGGCACCCCACATGCATTTCTGTTTAGCTAACAATTTCTTTTATTTAAAAAAAAAGACTATTAGATAAATATGACAACAAAAATGACCGTCGCAACAATTACTCGTTTTTTTTTAATTAATAAACAGTTAATTGCTCAATATTAAATATATAAAGATTAATCAATACATAATCTCTTATGTAGGTGTATTAGTTTATGTTGGTATTCAATCAGGATTTTGTGTTACTTAAAATCAATCTAGTGGTATTCAATATGAATTTTCAAGATTTTTTAAAGAGTTCATTAAAATTCATTAGTATTCATTTGAGACTTTTTATAACTTAAAAATAATTTATTGGTATTTAAAAATATAAAAATTTTAAAGGATTGTTATATTATAGAGATTTTGAATGACTTTTTACTGGTATTTATAAATACCAAATTCATAAAACAATCCCATAACCCATCAGATTTTGGAAGATTATTTGAAGTAACTTTTTAAGGGTTAAAACCCTATTTTGGTCCCTTATAATCTTTTTTTGCTTTGAGAGAATTTGGAAAAATGCATTTAATTCATTAATACTCAAAGTTAAAAGTTCAGCCAATACAAAGAAATCCTATATATAGGAGTTTGGTTGGCTTATGGTGCAAGGTAGACTAACCATGGGTAGCTATATCTTGTACTTATAGCTAACCAATCCTTGTTAACTTTTTAGAAGTTTAGTTAGTTGTCTAGAAGTTTATGGAGCAAGCTAAGCTAATCCTAGTTTAAAAATAACCTAGATTAGCTTAATTTAACTCCAACTACCTAACCTAATTATTATTACTAGACTAATGATTACTTTGGTTAGTTTATTGAAATGTCACTATCAAGGCCATGTGACTTATTTAATAAGCTTGGATGGCTTGTTCACTAAGCTTGGACGTGCAAACCACTTGCTTAGGTAGGTAGATGTCCAACCCTAATGGGTTAGAAAAATGTGTACGCCATCCAAACCCAAATAAGTCTATGGCCTAAGCTAGTTACACCTCCCCTAAACTATTAATTACACCTTTAAAGAAAAATACAAGGAAAAAAATTCTTATACTACTTTATCTAAAATACATGATAAAAAATATTTTATATAATGATTACTAAAAATGTAAAATAACAATAGGAGCCCTTAAGGTAGGATAGACCTCCAAATGTAGGGTACCCTACAAAATAAAGGTAAATGCCCTACAATTCTTTAAACCATCTTTATCATCCTTCCTTCACCCTTAGTTCTTTTTCTTCCAAAGGGAACAAATGCCCATCAACTATTTTAATCATGGTTCAACCATTGAGCATTGAATCACTATTTAGACCAGTTCAATAATTGGTCAATTTTAAAAACATTGCAATTTACTTCTTAATTAGACTGTACACCATAAACATTAGGGAAAATTACATATTTATAAGTATTATAAGCTTCTTTTAAATCTTGGGACTTTTTCTGTCATATTGTTATATTTGAGGTCAAAATTTCGAGAGGCATTTCTCTTGTTTTACTACTTACGCTTCTCTGGTCAAAGGGGACCCGTAAAAATCATTTAAGCTAAAGGTGCTATCACGTATCGAAAGAGACAAATTCCATTCCTTTGTTAAAGGGGATGTTATGTCATAATGTAACACCCTAGTTTGTTAAGAGGAACTCACTTTTCTTTTAATTTAGAATACGTTATTGAAGTCCTTTTTGACAAAATTAATAGTAATTTGTTTGCGATTAGGTAAACCTAGATTTTAGATTTAGGCACATCGAATGGTATACATGTATTTAAATCATTTGTAAACATGAAATAATTGTCACGCACCATGGCCTCATCCTTGACTACATGATAGATCGTATATATAACTAAAAAACAATTATTTTGTGACTTCTTAAATATCATGTAACGAAAATAGTATATTCTATCTTTTGAGGTACATGATAAACAATGTATAAAAAAGAGTTTGGGAAAGGGATTGAATAAAAGATACTTAAGGAAAATGATTTGCATGTTGAGTCAAACATTAAATAAGTACTTAAGGTTTATAGAACATAAATGAGACCATAATACAAGTATATTAACCCAAATGAAACATCTAGTTTTAGCCCAAAAGAATGACACAAGGAGAAATAAATAGACAACATTGTGGACTACAATTTCATCCTTCTAATCATAACAACAAACGAGAGTACCACAAAGACCCATAAGATAACTAGGATCACCATCACTAGGAAAATAATTTGAGGAATCATCGTTACTCAGTTAACTTTTTAGAAGTTTAGTTAGTTGTCTAGAAGTTTATGGAGCAAGCTAAGCTAATCCTAGTTTAAAAATAACCTAGATTAGCTTAATTTAACTCCAACTACCTAACCTAATTATTATTACTAGAGTAGAATGAGATAAGAATGAATCTTAGTTGGGGGAAGGACCATCTCACTACAAAAACTGCGATCTCTCTCCCTCTATAGAATTTGTTACTGTTATCCTTCCCCTTTCATGACTCAACAACTATTTTATTTCTTTTTTTTAATATGAATTTTATTTTTAATTTTTATATTGTGAAATTAGGATTTTTTATATTTAAAAAATAAAATTAACACAAGACATTACAATTTCTTAGAATTTAATACTAAAAATATTTCATTACGGGTGAATAATTGAAAGCAATTAAAAAAGTTTAAAAATTATTTTGTACCTGTAACAAATTTTAGATTTTTTTTTCTCCTAGTTGATGTTTGTAAATTTGTAAGATATTTAAAATGAATAAAAGTGTATGAAGACAAACTTTCACTTAAATACCAATATAAAATGCATGAACATATTTAGTTATAAAAGAGTAGGCTAGCTGTCCCACTATTTTTTTAATCATTTATAAATTTATAAATAAATTATTTTAAATCACAAATTATAACAAATTTGAAATGTTGTTTAGAATAATTTTTAGCATGTGCAACACTACATAACTTTCTTCGTAAAGAGTATCATTATGATGAATTTGCAATTGGAGTGGTGGACGAACCTTCATCTTCAACATTATCGATTAATAAAAATCATAATTTTAACCCTATTATTAAAACCCACGAGCAAAAGCGAAAAGATGCTAATACTTGGAGGACTAATATAACTATGAATATGTGGGTGAATGATATTTAGAAGGACATGATACTACGGATAATTATTATTATTATTATTTATCCAGACATTGTTATTTTTTTCTTATTATTTTTGTCTTTAACTCTTTTTAAATTTAAATGTATGAAAAAATCTTGAACTCTTATCATATATAAAAAATTTACGAAATTCTGCAAAGTTCACAAAGTTCTGCAAAATCCATTAAAATCCTGATTTAAAGTCTTGCGGAATTCTATAAAGTCTTAAAAGTCGTGAAAATCCTGCAAAATCTTCTAAAATTCACATGACTTTTTTTTAACTAAAAAAGTCTTTTAAAATCCTAATTAATTCAATACACCCCTTAATTAACCACTTGAGGAATAAGATTAAACAAAAGATTAATGTTGAATCACTACTACATTTTAACTCTTTAGCAACATTTTCTTTCTTACATTTGTTAAAATGTTACTATATATTGAATAAATAAATTATTTTGTAACATTTTTTTGAAAAATGTCATTAGATAGAGTAACATTTTTTATTTCAATATTATTCTTTTTAATTGTTTTCAAAATCAAAGTTCCATATCGAGTAAAAAAATGTCATATAGGTTATTTTGTAACATTTTTTTTTAAAAAATGTTACTATAAGTGCTTATAAAATCAAAGTCACACATCGAATAAAAAAAAGTATATTTCTCTCATATCTAAATGTTATCCATAATTAAAGTTCCACATCGAATAAACGAATGACTCATAAAGAGTATATATAATCATATAGTTATACTCAAGATAAATAAACTTTGATATTTTATATGTAATTAGTGGTGACTAATTAAAGAGATCTTCAATCTTCTCTTAAAGAATCCTTAGGAGTATAGGATATATAAAAAAAATATAGTAATTGAGATTAATATCTAAATTAAAATTAATTATTTTATAAAATTAACAAAAATTTAGCAACATTATTAAAATGTTACAAAAATACTACTTTGATAACATTTGAAAAATGTTGCCTAATTGTATAAAAATGTTACTAAAAGTCTTTAGCAACATGGACTATATACAACATTTGATAATATGTTGCTAAAGACTTTTAGTAACATTTTTATACAATTAAGTAACAATTTTCAAATGTTACTAAATATTTATTGTGTTGTAGTGAATGTTATTTTATGATTTTTCTTTTCAAGTTTGCTGCAACGATAGCAATGTATGTTACGGAACATACTTACATTGTATTTGGATATAAGAGAAATATATGAAGAATAATATAGAGAGAAATAGAAAAAAAGTGAAATAAGTGAGTAAATAGAATAGTATAGATAGAAATAAGGGTGTTTGACTTGAGAGGCATAGGTAAGAAATAAAAAAGAAATAATATTATAAAATTGTTTTGTATGAATGAAAAGAGAAATTATAGTTTTACCTTTCTATGTTACTTATCAAAATTTGATTTTATTTTTATTTGTATTCATTATTCTTGAATAATAAAAGAAACATATCTGA